ATGGACCAACGTGACACCTCAAAGTTCATAATTTTTAAGGCTAGGACGGTAACTTTGCTGTTGCTTTACTGTATCTGAATGTGATTGGCTGTTTGCCGTATTGTACCTGAAAGTGACTGGCTTGTACAAGCTGGCCAGTTCAAATGATAATTTGGCTTGTAAAGTGTAACGACTGATTCGATATTGAGGCCATATTAGAGTAAAATGTTTACTAAATTGATACTGCTTGTTTAGAGAACAATTAATCAATTAGAATCGATGGATCGCTAGAACGAAAACTGATCCTGTGACGTTGTCATGTTTAATGCTTTTTCTTTTCCAAGAGCTTCTCCGTTTCTGTCATCAGTTGTTTCCAGGCGGCCCTCTCTTCCTCGGTCATTCCCGTTTTCTGCGTCAGGAACTTCATTATCACTGGTCTAGCACTCTAAACAATTACGCGCCTGAAGGTCAGAATAATTCGACGATGAATCATACCTTGACAACGTCCACGGGCACCTTTTTCTCTTCGTGAATTTTCACTATTTCGTGCACGTCGTGTTTCAAGGCCTCTTCGTTGTCGCAATCGTGTACCACCTTTTTCAGCATTTTCAAGATCTTCGTACCCTGATTCTGGTAAAATTTATTGTGCGGAACGTCGTCAGGGCTCGAGAATTTTTCAGAGAAATACTTTTTCGTGTCAGGCAGCATCTCGAAGAAACTACACAACGATAATTGGACATTTTAATTCGTACTAGATAAAATTCAAATTTATCATGATTCGTTGAAATAAAACTGGATAAAGTAGCATAATAATAAATAGATCGAAATTTAAAAAGATGAGTATAGCGCTAAACTAAACGTTTGGCGCTTCGAAAAGCTTGACAGCTGTGTATAACTGAATGCATAACCCATATGATGCAGCTTAAGTTCGCTATTCCATAGATTCGCGTTCATATTCGTTGCGGTGAATCAGTTTTTAGCATGGTTCAGATTTCAAGCATACAATTATATCGAAAGTTTGCCGCTAGCTTTAAGTGTTTTATTTATCAGAGCCGATTAACAAGGATTTTATGAAAGTCATAATTTAGGTGAAAATCGAGTAGTTAAAACTTTAAAACTTTCAATATTTGATATTGTTTGGCGCAGTGAACGAATGTCATCAGTTGCGAATATACGATTCTTCTTCAGAAATAGAAGTATCTCGTGAAATCATGAAATTTGTTGAATAGTGAACCTCGAGTCAATTCGCTTAAGGCATCCTACCGATATACAACTCTATTAAAAGAAGATTTGGCAGTACATTCGAGAACCAAAGTCTAAACAGGTACGAGCATAAAGTATCTCTGTCGGTTGAAAGTTTCAACTCTATAAAAGTTTAATTGTTTTATGCGGATTGACAATTTCAACCTATTTTAGAAGTGAACCTGTACTGATGCCGGAAGAAAAGGTTTCCGGGTATTGGATACTGACTTAAGAATTACTGAACATGTACTCCATCACGACCCTTCTGCTTAGAACAAACATTGAAATTTTATTTGTTTTTTACCAGCGCATTTATTCATGCAGTTGAAAATGCAAGTTGCTCTCGATCTGCGTTGTTCATTTAGTTACGCATTTGGCGTTGCTCCTTATACTTGCTTCTGTCTTTATA